ATATTGGTCTAATAAAAGTGAAATTTTGTATCCATATTCTCGTCGCAGGCGCATGACTAACGCGACTATAATGACACCACCACCTTTGACAGAATGATGGCCGGCCAAAGCTTAATTGACTCGTTGATTTTAGGCTTGAAAACTTCAAATTTCATTAACAAGTGGTCAATTAATCGCCGATCCAAAACTCTTGAGTTCAACTTGGCCATCTTGGACTTAATTCCTATTCAAAAACCAAACTTCTATTTTATTATTTTTTCCAAAAACACATTACATCAACCATCATTATAGATACTAATTTTTCTTAATCACATTATATTATTAACTTTTTATCTGATCGAGAGTACAATATAAAAAAATTAATATTGTCAAATGAAATTTAAGAATCAGAGTCTAAAGCATTATCCACTCTACTAGGGTAATCTGTGTATGAAGGTACGGTATAATGTGAATAGTTTTGAGAGAGATGTTGGTGGGTGTTGGATGAGTCTATTTGAGACTGTTGGATGAATTTATTAAAATCTGCCTTATTTTATTCATATTTTTTTTTTTAGAAAAAAATAAAAGAAAATTATCATTATTTTTGTTACTGAATAAATATTGGGTGTAATGATGACAACACATCATTATTAACACATGATGTCTCCATTTAATAATAAATTAATAAATAAATAAGGTGAATCTCACTTGAATAATTATTTTTTTACCAAAAAAAAAAGGGGGAGGAATGACCAGTAAGTAGTAAAGGGTTCTCATTGGTGAATGTCCGGTTTGAATTATAATTACTAACCCGAACGGGTAGTCCATCACTATAACACCACAAAAACCAAGCAGCATACTATCTCGATTCTGTGAATTGAATCATGTTTGATACTCTCGTACTCACATAAGAGTCAATGATGATCCTAAACGAGTACGTCTTACCATTAAATCATCAACTCGGATGGTATTTGGATAGTTATTAAATGACATGACATGATGGTTACTAAAATATGTGAAATTTACATACTTATTTATTATCTTTTTATTAGATAAATACATTATTTGATAATGATAGCGTAATATCACCGTCATATACAATATTTTTTCCAAAATTAGACCCTTTACTCATTCCTTTTTTTTATTTTTTGGGTGGTGCATAATTGGACCTTTTACTCATCCTAGCGAAGAAAATCCAACGCCTTTCGGCATACGGACATGGCTTTAGGAGGCCACCGGTACCATGCCCACATGAACTGTGGGCATGTGGCAGAGGTTCACGTACCTCTTTTGGTTTTTTTTCTGAAATATAGGCAATCATTGGGTATCTAGAAAAGAGTAATACTACCCGGGTTTTGTTTTTTTTAGGTTCAATTTGATAGGATGCAACTCGAACGGACGAATTTAAATTTAACTCGAGTCTAGCTCGAAAAAAATAGAATTTTGGTTAAAATTTTTAATATTTGAGTTAGACCAAAACAAAAAAATTTCAATCTTAATTGAATTAGGGCAAGTTTCGGGTTGAACCCAAATATACATAAATATATAAATAAATTTAACTATGGTTAGTATTTATCTTCACTCTTTAGAATCCAAATTTTCACTTCACTTCTACGCCTTCATCACTCTCAAATCCCTTTTCTCACTCGTCACGCATCTGGTTTCAAGCTCTCAACCTCTCTTTCTCACTTGTCACTCCTCCCTCTTTTATCAACCTAAATTAAATAATCCGAGTCAACCCGATTTTTAATTCGAAATTAACCCTAATTAAGTAGCTTAAATTCTCCCGAATTAAACTTGAGTTGAGTATCTCGAGTTGATGTAGGGTTAAGATTAAGGTTAAGATTGAAGATTAAATACCTAGGGTTAGACTAGGGTTGACCTTTCAACCCATCTAACCCTCCCGAGTTGCACCCCTACAATTTGAGCTCCTTTTATTTTTGTCTAATTTGAATAAGTTCGTTTTACAAAAATGAACTTAAAAAATTTAATTCGTTTATATGTAAAATAATTTAATTATTTAGACTCAGCTCGGGTCAGTTCATTTTGTACGGTTATTATTCTTGTTTGTCCTATTTAAGCCATAATGAGCACTCACAGGTGAAATAATGTCATAATGAGCCACTAAAAAACAGCATACCACCAATCACCACTGAAAAAAGAGGTAAGCTTCTTGTTACTTTTTCTTGCAACAATCAAAAGAATATGGAACTACTGAAAGATAACATCAAGTAATTTATATCACAAAAAAATAACATTGGAGATATTGAACCGAGGAACCATGTCAAAAATAAAATTAAATCATAAAAAAAATACGATAATATTTAAATTAAATGAAAAGTAGACGATAAAATTGAAAAAAACTCACTAATTTTTTTGGTATATTTATAATATAAAACAGAACATATTTCAATAATTTTATTCGATGGTTTCAAATAGACTCATCTAATGGTTATCAATATCACTCTCAATTTAATCAAATACAGGTCATCCACGACAAAACTAAATAATTTATGAGGGATAAATCTGTATAGTCAGGGGTGTCAAACGTGTCGTGTTAAACGATTACGTGTTGGATTAAATGGGTGACAAGTGAAAAACATATAAACCCGTACACGACACGTTTAATAAACGGATAAAAAATCTCAACACGAACATGACTCGTTTAATAAACGAGTAACTGGACACGACTTGTTTAAACCCGTTTAATTTTAAAAAAATTATATTGACAAATTTTAATACTTCACTTTTTTTTTTGTCAATTGTATTTATTTTAAAAAAGATGAATTTTTAGTCAAATCTCACATAAAAATCAGACTTAAAGGCTAAAAAAACTAACGCAAGAAGTCACATTTTATAGGCAAGACACCCTTCTCCATCTTCCCTCACTTATCGATGTGGGGCAAAAACTAAAAATGTTGGTTTACCATTGTTATGAACTACTCCTCATCTCCCCCTCCTTTGTTAAACTACTACTTTACTTCTTCTTTTTTTTGTCTTAATTTCTTTTTTTTTTTTTGCCTAATTTTTTTAAATAATTATTAATTTATTATTATATTAATTTTATTTAAACAGATAAATATGTGATAAACTATTTGACAGGTTTTATTTCCGTTTATTAAATGTGTTTGACAGATTAATCCGTTTATCACCTAAACATATTAAAATATCACTAAAAACTGTTTAATTCGTATTGATTCGTTTCAATTAATCATGTGTTGTCCAATTTTGGCATACCTACCTATAGCCTATGGGAGTTTGTCATAGTAAATGCGGAATTTGGACAACTGCAAGTCTTAATTTCCCCTAAAGGTGCCGCTACCTTTTGACTCATAGTTATCGGTAAATTACCTATGTATAGGTCCCATCACATACCTACTTCAAGAAAAGAGAAAAAAATAACGTCTTTAGAATATTTTCCTCTTCCATAAATTCAACCATGTTACACCATTATCAATTCTATGAATATTTAATACAGAAAAATGACACCTAATTTATATTCATTAATGTAGCAATATTTTCTTCAAGGTCACAAAATTCTTCCTTAAATTTTTTTTCTAGAAACACAACTAAATCACTATTATATTAGAAAATCAACCGTAATAATTTAATGCATTTATAACATATCAGAAAACAGACATAAATAGAGTAAAGAAAAACTCGAAAAGAGGGTGGTGTAATAGAACCTTTAAAGGGTGGGGCATGAGAAATTAATCCTTCACGTTGATCTCTTGAACTAGAGAATTGGAGGAGAATCGAAGGTAACAGTCTAGGCTAGGCCTAGCTTAGTTGGTTTGCGATTCTTAGAGATATTTTTTAATGAGATTCTAGAAACCTCGCATTTTACTATTTTTTTCACATCAAACGCATATGAAATAATTTAGATCATACGCTAATTGTTAAACCTTTTTAGTATACATGCTATGCTACCAACTAAAGTGTAGAAGAGGGGATAAATAGTATAAAGGATGCATAAAAACACAAAGAATTGAATAAAAATGGAAAAGCATTGTAATTCTACTTCTTTCGAAAATGGTAAGATCTTTGGTGCAAGAAGAATTGCAAGAGCTAAATGATGGTGTTCTATATTGGCCAGTCATAGACCCCCAATTACTAGACCTAGTCCTTTACGAAAAATAAGAAGGTATGCATACTTTGACCAATTCAAGATGAGAAACTCGAGTTTTTGGTGTGATTGTACGAGAATTAAAACAATTAAATATTACTAAAATAATTTCATTAACTCCCCAGATATATAGTTTATCAAACTTTTCATTAGTTCTTCTATTTGGGTCATAAATGATCAATAAACATTGGCAAAATCCAACACTTAACAAACTAATTATAGCCTGGCGCCATTGCAACATTAGTGAAAGTCTTCCTTTAAGTTTAGCTGCTATTATTTTTAGGCCACTTGTGCCTCTTTTTCTTTTTGGTTATCATTTGCATGCTTGAGATTGACCTGTGCACTTGGGCTTGTGTGTGTGTGTGTGTGAGAGAGAGAGAGAGAGAGAGTTCAGTCTCAAACTCAAGCTAAGTATCAGTTTCGGTCTCTGGCTAGCAGGACTCTTGATATCGCTTAAGAAATCCTAAACTGAAAGATTGGAATTGAACTATCCAACTTACTAAATACAACTATGGGCCAGAAACACTGTCTTTCAACTACTGGTTGTAAGGCAATATAACCTTATTTTACTCTTAGTCCAATTGATACAGGAGATCCATAAAACCCACACACAAAAGGGAGTTTGGTTAGAGTTTCAGTTGTTGGAGAATTGTGCCTACGGAGCAAAACACGGGCAAAGTGAATAAGGAGATCAGGAGAAATATAGAATTCTTGGGTATAATTTGTTTGTTAAACAAATTTACAAAAAAAAAAAAAAATTACTTTTCTCTTTCATGCATTTTCTTAGTTTTCTCTTGTTAACCAAATGAATCCTAAATGATCTCCAAATGACCAAAAAACTGTATTTATCTTACATTTCATAAAACAATAATCAAATAAACCCCAATGCTTTACACAAAGATGCTTACAAATAGAAACTTAAAAACAAAAAATGGCCAAATGCAACACAAGCAACATGGGTATCTAACACAAATCACCTGTTTTCACTCACTCTTTTCAAAACTTTTTTTTTTCTTTTTTCCGTATAGAACATTTACAATTTCAACTTAAATCAGTCTACTAACATAAGACTAAAATAGACTATACTCACCAAGAAAAAAAAATAAGAAAATTATCCCCACACTTGGAAAAACAATCATTGTTATTTTCTCTTTATTTTTTTTTTGTTCTTTTTCTTTCCTGCTATACAAACCATTTAGAATGATCAACAGTCAACTTCTAAAGGCTTGCTGTCGCCAATGTCTCATCAAAAAATTCCAAGCAAGCAATGCTGCTCCTATTGCAGGTTCCACCTGATTCAACCCACAAAAACACACAGAAAATTGTAATTAGATTAAACCCAAAAAAAAATATAACGAAAAAATGTAATGCGTTAGAGAGCAGATGGTCTAAATTGTTCCTCCTAAGCGAGTGAGGTAGGTTAATTTGGTCTTTTGGCTTTATGCAGGCAAAAGAAAAAATAAAATCCCAGAGCGAAGAAACATTTCATTATTCACTAAGCAAACTATTAATACCACCATTGAAAGATGCAACTTGGTTTCTTTTTTTTTTTTCTTTTCATCAACCTGGTTTTAATCTAACATGCCAACAACAACAAACAGCTCACTTACCAATAGGTAAACGCAAAAGATTTCATTTCCTAGTTGTCTGGAGTGCGGAAAGTTCTTCATTGGATCAAGAGCAACCTCCTTAGGAGTTGGTGGGGTGCCTTTTCATCCTTTGCTAATTGTTCTTTCATGCTTTACATTTATTTTTAGTAAAAAATATATAAGAAGCAAATGTCAAGTATGTATTGATATCTTGTTAGTTTGTATTGAAAAACATTGAATGCAAGTTTGTATTTATTTCACTTTCCTACTCTTTGAGACAATTCTAACACTTTTCAAAATGGCACACACTCAATAGAGTTTCTGTTCGAGGAGAACAAATTATGAAAGCCAGGAAAATCATAATCAAAACATACATAGTGAACTACTGCCAATTGAGCATCTTACACGTGCACTTAATAGCTTAGGCTCATAATTTAAGTTGTGCATATATAACAACAGTGCAAAAGTGACCAATGGCTGAGCGACATTAAGTGGATTGACCAAAATACTCTTGGATCACTTATGTGTACATAGTTATAGTTAAGACATTGAGAGAAACACAATATTGAGAGTCCCATCCACCCCCTTCAAGGACTTTTTCAAAATTGTAATAGATCAGTATCAAGTAGAGTATAAATATAACTCAATTGTATATGAGTATATACTTTATCCAGGTACAATTTTCATCACCATACATGACCAAATAATTGAGTCAGAATAGAATTCTTATAACACTAGCTGACGGTGCAATAATCCAGCTTCAATTGCATGTTCAGAATTCACAAAAATATTCACAGCTGTTTTAGATGTGGATGTGATAGTCATCTAAATATTGGTTTGTTGGCTTTACTACAGTTCTGTTTCACATAATGATAATTGTACCTAAATCAAGTGAAATTATACAAGATTATGTTGCTAACAAAAGCAAAATATCTTATACAAATGATACCTTATTAACCACAAACGCTAAGTAGAAGGAGCTTACCTTTGGCCAAATTAGACGAACCCCTGGAAACTCGTTGGAAATACAATTCATTACTTCTTTCCCTATATTCCACCTCTTATTGGGTTCAAGAACACCACCAACCAGGACAAGAGGAAAAGAAGACTGCCCATCTGCAATCAATATTTTCAAAATGTGTAAACAAGTCATCAGTGAACTGCCAGGGAAACCTATGGTGCAACTAGAAAGGGACAGGAATTCTAGCTTCCTAAATAAATTAGAAAAGCACTATCTAGTCAGTCTGAGAAGTTCATAAAATATTCTGGCCACTCCATGCTGGATGAAAATGTGTTTTCAAAAAGTATATTTCAACTCTCAAGAAATAGCAGAAATGGGCAGGCATATAATACACACTTTCAATAAGGGGGGAAGGGTGATGTGATAGAGATGAGGGGGAAAAATAAAATTCAAATGCGAAAAATATGTGGGGATAAAATTCAAATGCCTATCTCTCTTATTATATAGATAGTTGATAGCCAAAGAAACTAATCAGAAATGTAAACATCAAACGGTGAAGGCAAGATAGATAAAAAGTAATTATAAGAAAGCCCAAGATAATGTAGAGATGAATGGCAAACGCAGAGTATCACTTTCCTGCAAACTAAGATGATAAAAATAAATCTAGGTAGCCATTAAAGACTATGGATAATCGTCACTAGCTATATGGCTAAAATTTAGTGGAAATATAGGGCTTTAGTGTCTATAAAGTTAGGAAAGACTGAGGAATGAGGCTTTAATTGGCAAGAAGTGAAGAAGGTCTAATAAGGCCCGGAAGTTGTGAACCCAGGAACAGTGTTTTATCAGAATTGGTGTTAAATTAAAGTTTCAGAGAGAAAGTGATTGGGCTTGTTCATAAAGGTGTAACAAAGGTTGAAAAGATTTGGTTGTTTCTCTTTAAACAAAGTTACCAAATTTGAAAAAGAAGACGAAAGAGAATCAGACCACTCTTTTATGGATTAGACAAAAGCACACAGCACTCCATTAAATCTAAAAGTCCATGGGATATAAAGTTTTGCAAGGATTACTAACCAGGATCACTTTTCTGTGCACCTTTCTACAACCATTCATTATCCTAGTCCTCAAGCCTGGCCAAGCAAAAATGAAGGTCCCACAATGTGCTATGGTGGTTCAGGGACAGACACCCATCACAAAGAAAATAGCAAAAAAAGAAAAAAAGAGGCACACACTCTTATTCGCATGCAGAGTTTCAATGACCCTAGCCCATGATGCATAAATAACAACGGAGCAAGAGCAATGTTATCCAAAACCTTACCAGGTTTGGCATATACATATCTGCAACATAATAAGAGTCCTTGAATCCATGATCATGCTTAAGGAGATTAATTTAGAGACAACAATGAAAGGTTGTTTTATTTCAATAACCTAACAGCAGGTTTTTTAGTTTTATTTTTTTTTTTTTTTTGGGGGGGGGGGGGTGTAGTGGCAATAGTTATGACTTCCCTTTTCAGAAAATAGATATACAATCACAAAAGAAAATCACGAATTGTGAAAAATCCAAGATAATAAGAAATTTTGGAAAGAAAAAGGTTTGGTTATGTAGTTATTATTTCTCTGAAGAAAATCTTAAAATTGAATCAAGATGTAAACTTTTGTATAGGGGCTATATATTATCGGACAGAATACCTTTTCAGATGGTTTTGCATATGTCCTTAGATTATAAACAAAAATTTTCTCTTGACTTTGTGCCAAACACTTCCAGACTACTATAAGATACATGTTTGACATCCGTAGGTGGGGAAGAAAATACAACACTGAAACTTCAGACTATACCAAATCCTACTCTACCTTGAGTGATTTGGATTTCAGACCTCTGGTATAAAGGTCACTTGGATGCCCTCTAGATACAAGATACAGCAGTTAATAACAATGTCAACTTAACGGAGAGCCTTTACAATCTAGCCTTGCCTCCATCATGTTTAATAAAGGCCAAGATTATAGAACATATGTTATATTCGCTATAACTGGGGGTGAAGTTGAAAACATAATTGGTTTAATGTCTCACCTTCACCACTCAAACCCAGTCTTTGAACAACAGCTTTAACACTTGAAGCTAACGCTTGAACTGCATCTAGCAAGATGTTAGTCGCAACTTCATCACCCGCCTCTGCACAACATACTACAACTGGAACAAGAGCTGCAATTCGAGCCCAAGATGGGTCTGCATAGGTCCACCTAAATGAAGAAAATAAACATTTGTAAACCCATCATCCTTTCCAAGTACATAAGTTAAATTCAGCTAAAAAAACTTATCTAGTGAAAAATCAATACAAGCACTACAAAGAGACCATGTCTTGAAGTACTTCGTTTCTCATACGAAATTTTTTCAAAACATTACTCTACTGACAAAATTTTGTCAACTCAAATCATATTTCACTCAAAAGCACATGACACTACAGAATATGTTGAAGGCAAAATAGCGAGAAACAAGAAGTACTGCTTCATGAATATCAATCAAACTGCTTCCACATGTTTTGTAAAGTTCAAGAAATTCTCCTATCTATGTATGGATATATGTATAAGTGTATTTAGCGTAAGTGTGTATGTGTAGCATCACATTTATACATCATCATACTTCACAAACACCAAATCAAACATATTAATGCGAATACAGAACTACACAAATAGGTAAATCATTTTTCATCCTATATTTTAGCCATATGAAACGATTTTAGTGTCCCAATAACATTCATTACTCAACCAAAGATTTCCTTCTCCGCCATTTTGATGGAAGGAAATGCCTATACAGTAACCAGATTTATGAAACACACCAGTGTTATGCATTTATGTACATATATTTGAGTATGCATTTGTACATTAGAATATTAGGTAGAAAATGAACATTGTAACTGCAAGCATATGTTATGATGTTGATCCTAAGCTTTTGAACAATTACCCAATAAGTTCATCTGGAGAAGAAAGATTAAGCGCCTGTAGTATACTACGTGTAAGCGTCGTATGCGGACCACGACCATCATGATCCCTTATTACTGCAGTCAATGCCTGTGCAGCTATACCATATCCACTGCAAGTAAAGAGAACATTTTTTTCCCAAAATTCATCAAAAATTGAAGACAAGAAAATACAAGGGCAGGTTGATTTTAAAAACTCCTCATTGTAAGATCAAATATGCATAACTTAAATGAGTAGCTGTCAAATGTTTAAAATCAGCTAAGCATAACCACACAGCTGGATACTCCACAAAATTCATGAATTGGATTTGCATTTACAACAAAATTAACAACGCTAGCATAACAGCATAGCTCAGAGACCATATTAAAGGAAAACTCCACAAAATGCATCATTCAGTCCTCACTCATTGGAAAGACATTCCTAAATCCCTCAAATGCAGAGGCCAAACTGTGGCCACAATAAAATTGGACTCTGTTTTAGCATCGCTCAACCCAGAACAGCTTTCATATTCAAAGACTTTAGACGATATTGTTTGGGTGTACTCTATCTTCCTTGTTTAATGTCAACTTGTTTAAGAAAAAAAACCATGAGTAATGTAATTTAACATCCTCAAATAAAAACTAGCAACTCGTCTTTTGGACATGTTTAAGACTTTGGGTTGAAGTTGATCACACACATTTAACCCGGTCAACATATTTTCCATTTATTTGTTGTTGTCACTCTTCTTGTTCAGCAACTGAGAATAAGATTCAGTCGTGACAATATCTGTAGAATTGCCTGCAGATGTGAGGCAAAGAGCTCTTAACTACCAAAAACAAAAGCAACTATACCACACTAGTAATAGCCCACAACTCCTATATCTTGTTGGGTTTGTGAGGATTGTGATTGTTCTGGAATTTATGCAATTCACTATAACATCTTCCAAATCACCCTAGAGACGTTATTTACTGTTTATACATTGTTTGAGAACTCAAAACATCAGAAAACCACCCCCAAGAAATCTAATTTGGTGACACCTGTGGTTCACTATCGGCTATCTAATGATAGATTTTTTCTTTTCTCAAAAAATAAGTGGTCCAGCTGAATGGGCCTGGTTCCAGAATTTGATTTTTCACTTTTCTTCAGTCTGGAACTCACCAACCTATCCTAGGGACATGTGCCTAACTTAAAATGTGACACCTAAGGACCTAAACACTGCTCCAGCTTGAACTCTTCCAGAAGTAATTGATGTCTCTCGACCAAAGCTCGACAGATGATCTTCTTGATCTTGTCGCAATGATCCTAACTCCTACAATGCTCTGATGTCTCTCGACCAAAGCTCGACAGACGATCTTCTTGATCTTGTCGCAATGATCCTAACTCTTACAATGCTCTAGAGGCTGATATCGGCTTACCGAAAGATGTCTTCTAATTGCCTCATGTCCAAGTTCTAGTGTAAGTAATGAAACTGTCAATCTAAAAACTAAAACTAATACGTGTTACAGATGTCAACCATTTTTAATATACGTATCGACATATGTTCAAATTACCTCATATTTAACTTTCCAAAGGATTTTTTTGTAAAGAAAGACCAAAATTAGGCTTCCCATAAAATTTTAAAACGTTTACCTAAACATTAAATATGAGACAGATTGTTTCATAGATCTGATATTGGCTATCAATACATCAAAACACACTCTCTACTATTGCAATAATTTAGGACCAGGCCATTATTGGCTGATTGCTTTTACTTGTTTTTATTCCAGAAGTGTACCAGACGGGCATTTGGTTTCTATCTCTTTCCCAAGATTACCAATTATATTCTTATACAACCAAGGGGAGAGAGAGAGAGCAGTTGTTGAAGATCCCATGGTTGATTGTTCAAGACAATCAAATCACATGATCGGTATAGTTACTGAGATCGATTATTGAAACGTGAATCACAAGTTAGATTTCTTGATTTGCTCAATCAATCAAATTGATTCTTTCATTGTCCAATGATTTCTTGACCTTATTAATATATGTGTGAAACATGTACACAGCCAAGAATAATGAAAATGTAGTCCTTTAGGGTTGTGTGCCATGAATGTAGAAGGACCAAACCACAATACATGATGGTGCTCCTTTGTCTTCCTTTTCTATTTTTCATCTCTTTATTCAAAATTGAACATCAATCAAAAGTATACCTTCCCCAATCACCTAAGATGGGTCCTGCACCAGCAGCTCGAGCTTTTCTCCCATCTTCTGTAAATCCATAAGCAATGGTTCCTGTACCAGCAATTAAAACACATCCATGAAGCTTTCCCATTGTCCCACTGGCAAGAGCTGCCACAGCATCATTCTGAACAAACAGTCTAACATGCCTGGGAAATATATCTCTGATTTACAAAGAAAAAGTCAATTTAGAGCCCACATGATACCAACAGCTAAAATAGAAGGATTGATGAATAGGTAAATTTATGACGCAGACCAAGATGGGCTATAATCATATAAGAATTTGCCGGGATATATTCTAGAGACAAAGATTTTTGATAGTGACGGTAATACAAATGCTAATTAAGTGACCTGCTCAACCAGCTGTTAATGGTGTTCCAATGCTATACAACAAGTGGTGTAGGGTGGGGACTATATTTTTTGGGCCTTCCCAGAATGGGCTTGAGCACTCGCAGAGAAAAAAAACCACCTTATATACTCTCAACACCTTAAACTAATATTTTACAGCATCACATAAACTTTATAAGGCCGTCCTACACGATAGATTTCAGTTAAGACTGTAAAGATGAAATGTCATCAATTGTGCGCGGTGGGGGTGGAGGAGAAAGAAGATAAGGAAATCTTTATGTAGAGAACTGAAGCCCACCTTACAACCATCATTTTTCATGATTACATAGGCATGGTTCAAGGTTGCAGTATCAACCATCGATTTGGAGACTTGAAGGGCTCTAAGACATAACCATCGCGGCACGATATCAAGCAATACGACATAAAAAAAATTGTTAAACATGACGAGAGACTTGACTCAAGTCATACGACGAGGTCATGAAACTGTATTGACCGATTCAGTAACAATCACTTGACAACTCAAATGACTCAGCAGAGTTGTGTGAGACTCAAGGTTTTTTTGTATTGTATAACGGTATCATCTCGAAAAGTGTCAAGTCAAATACAACTCGGCCGACTTGTATCGGTATCAGTATCGGCCGATATTTTGAACTATGTATATAGGAAAAGGTTATCCATAAGTACACTAACCGCTGCAGATATGATAAAATAAAACAAAACATAAGGAAGGCAATGCTAGAATCTGGTCTCCTCACATATATTTCTTACACACTTGAGTTCTTTTCCTGAATCTTAGATGTAGCAGCTCCTTGTAAATATTGATGAAATACTATATGGCCACATGCCACTTATACAAATCCACACTCGTGCATTTCTTTGATAGTTTTCTTATACCCATTAACTTCTAAGAGAAAGATGTGATGTGCAAAGATATGGCACCCTGACACTTCCATTTTCTCACCTGAGTCCCCACCTGGCAAATACTCAGCAGCAAATTCAGACACCAAAAAGTGTTTCTTGTTAGATTTGATCAAAGAAAGAAGAACGGAGAAAGAAAAACTATTATTACGGCACAATTAGGTTGTGCAACAACACTGAGACCTAAGATACACAACAAAGGCCCTTATATAATGGGGCAGCAAAAAGCAATGAAATGACTATACTACCCCTAATATTAATATACTAAACTGCTATACAATGTCGCTGTTTGTGCTACATATCTAAGAAGACAACTCTCACTTATATGCCTCCCCGGACCCAACATGTAACCATCTCTGACTCATATGTAGCATTGAAATAGTCAGTGGCGGCCTCAGTTGACAAGTTTATACCCTTCCTTGCAAGACACCGGTCCCCCATGAGATCTATGCATATAGAACAAAGTGTAAGTCCAGCAAACCTCCAATTAAATCCTCTGATGGCATAGGGATCCGGAGGGAGAGTAATCGAGGAACAACCGTCTATCCTCAAGTATCATCCACTACATATATAGGCATACACTCCTAATGAAATCCAATTGCTCTTCCTGCCTAGAGCACATGGATTGGGAGGTGATGTCTTGCCTCGGATGAGGAATTGAGTCCCACCTACGACAAGAAGTGTAGCAGCACCTCCAATATGTGAGCCTAGTATGTAAGCCTCAAACTATACACAGCTTTGAAGACTTATGTTGCTTGAGCAAGCTTTGAATGTATGGCTCTTCAGCATCTTGGAGTATTCAAGACTCAAGATCAAGAGAGACTCCCATAAAAAGTACAATACCCATACCACAATGGGAGATCAATGGAAAATGTTGGTTTGGAGACTAGAGAACTGATAATGTAGAACATAACTTGAGTAAGCAACATGGTCCTTCCCTTGCGAGTCTCAAATGATAGCACAGACCCTTCAGGAGTCCCAAGCTATAACACTCCTACATTATGTATTTGGGTTGTAGTTGTTGTAAGATTGTATCTATTATCTTCATATATTTCATTAACGGCGACTCAGACCTTTTTTATTTGTAGGAAATTATATTCTCTCTAGTAGTTTTTTCCCATTATGTTGGATTTTTTGAGTGTTGCTAATAATTTTTTGTTTTCTTTCTTTAATACATATTGTGTTCTTGGAATAGTCTTATTCTATAAAGCACGGATACTTCGTTAAGGTTGATGTATCCGTACTGAATATCATATCGGATATGATACTTGTCGGATACTCGAGAATACGTATCGGATACTCACTAAACGTTAATAATAAATAAAATATATGGATACTTCGCGGATATTTCTATATACAGAGAAGTATGTGTGATTTTTAGTTTTAATCTTTACATCTTCCTTTTGATTTCACATACAATCATACATCAACAAAAGTTCATATGACTTGGAATACACATAGGTGTTTTCCAAGTATTATCCATGTTCAAAGAGTTTAAATAAGTTGATTACTCAATAATCTTAACAACAACTACTTCTAAACAAACAATATAGTTAAATGTTGATTCTTATTCTTTTAATTAATCATGTTCACTTTATAGACATGATGAGACGATAGATAATTTTTTGAAAATAAAAAATTGTTAATGTTTTTTATTATTGTTAAAAAATATCTAAAAATTATAGCTATTATGTCATTACATAATAGTAAAAACATAAAATATATAAATTTATAAACGTATCCCGGCCATACTCATATTCTATTTTTTGGGGTTTTGACGTATCGTCGTATCCGTATCATACTCGTATCTCGTATATGTACCCATGCTTCCTAGGTCTTATTTAAGTTTTCACAGTATCAGAGCTAAGTTTATTACCAACAAGGAACTAAATTTCGTTTCAAAACATTTTTTGTTTTCATAAAAACAGAAACGAATTATTGATTGAATATTAAAATTTCTATGTTTCAAGATATTTGATAGGTTTCAAGATATTTTAGTAGGTTTTGAGGTGTTTTGGCATATTTCGACCTATGTTTCGATATATTCCGATCAATATAGGACTGTAGGAGAAATAAATTTTCAAAATTTTCTTGTTTTCTATATTATTTTCAAAATATTTCCATTTTCATGCTCACTGAAACAATGCATCGAAACGAAATTTTGATCCTTGGTTACCACAACGCCACTACCTTGGTATTGCCGGTAATTCGTTTTCTCTGAGTATTATTGTGCAGCCTTATAAGTCGTAAGACTATTGTTTGTCATTGCAACATTTGAAAAATGTCACAATCTCACCATCATCTTCATCACTCTTTTCCTATTGTTCCTCTTTTGTAAGAATAAAATAAGAAATGTCATTGTCATCTCGCCAGAATCTTTGATGCTGACAATCCCCATCACTGTCGGCCCCATTTGTTGATGGAACATGTTATTCACAAGGGTTTAAAATTCGAACCAACGAAGTTAGGGGAAGGAGATAACCATGGTGGGTTCGGTTTGATCATCATCCACGACCATCGCCATAAATTAGTTGTCGGTTTGGAATGCATAGGGTTTGAAAGCTTTAACCAGCTGCTGATATTTTCAAACTAGTCGAACAAATGAAGGAAGAATACAACTTCTCTTGGGTTATAAAGCCCAACTTGGCACGGGTTTATTTTAATACTCACCTAAGATCTAACCAAACCAATATCTAACCCAACCCAGTCCACACCAAGTTGGTTCAAAACATCAGTCTGTTAAAACAAGTTAGTCGAATCACGATTGACTCAGTGCCTTCAGATCCAATACTGTTCCACTTTATGTGTGACCCATGAGTCTTACACGAGTCGACCTAGTCACTTCCGTGTCATTGTCATCGAACCAGCCAATATCAATTTGTAACACAGCCAAAAGCTATTTCATACCTTGAGGATAGCAAGGCATCAACCTTGATGTTGATTTGAAAATGGTTGTCGAGCTTACTCAAGAGTCATGATGATTCATAGACAATTGATGTCACAATTCAAACAAACATCTTGAGATAATAGTGCAATATAAAATCTCGACACATGTATCCAAATAACTAAACCATGGAATCACAAAAACCAAGAGAAGCCTTGCTCAACAAGTTTGTACCCCTGCTCACAAGATAGTTGTCCCTCGTAAAGCCAATGCACATATAATGGAGTGTGACCCCAATAAATTTCCAATGAAATCCTCAGTAATGGTCTCAAGGAACAGGGATCTAAGGAACTTGGAACAACCATCTATTCTTGAGTAGCATCAGTTGCTTAATAGCATATGCTCATGCTCCGCTTGGTACTATGAAAAAATGGAATGATGAAAAATTGGAAAATTGAAAGGATGAAAAGTTAGAGGGATAAATAAAACATCATGTTTGGTAAGTAAGAAAAATAGAAAGGATAGAAAAGTTGATGGATAAGCTTTCCTTACAACTCACCAAAATCAATCCCTTCAAAATCAGAAACAAAGTGGATGAAAAGTTAATTATTTGTGTTAATGTGTATCTTATTTGTCTATATATTATTTGATATATACATAAATTAAGAATACATTAATTTCATATATAAATACAATGATAAAATATGTATTTATGTTTTGTTTTTAAAATTAAAAATAAAAAAATATATTTTTTTCATCTTACCCAACACAAAAAAAAAAATAATCATTTTTATTTTTTATCCATCCTACCAAACACAAAAGACATAAAATGTATCATTCCTACTTTTCTTCCATGAAAGATAAAAAGTGTATCCCTCCTACTTTTCATTTTTCCTACCAAACGGAGCATAAAAAATACAATTGCTTGTCCTACTTAAGACAAAGGGATTTGGAAATGATGTTCTCTCTACAAGCCTCATCCTTGGGTAGAGATTCAAATTCTTAGGCTACCTGACTAGACCTTGATTTGTATAGCTCTTTAGCTTATTGGAGCGTTCCTAACTTGGGATTTAAGGAGGCTCCATAAGGAGTAGGAGACCCAATGAGGAATTTGGTTCAGAAGCTATAGAAATGGGATTATGGAGCGGAACTTGGGCAAGCACAGTTGGTCAATCCCTCACGAGTCTCAACATATAACTCAGGACCCAACTCTTCCGCGTCCCGAGTTATAACTCAAGTCTCTCACGAGTCCCAACTTATAAATCCCTCATCTAAATCATTGAGGCCATAAAGTGTATCCAACACATGCTCCACCGGCTTGTGTGACCAGGGTATACGTAGCGCACATGGTGCAATCCTCCATTCAAAGGTTGCCGAGGGTAATTTATACACTAACCCAAACTTACCCAGATAGTGCACTATAACTACCCTATAAATTGTCCGACAGGTGCGAGTCTCAAATTGGTGAGTATTCTTGCTAGTTTACCTCTTGGGTTTCCTCTTCCTTTTACGTATCTTTGATATTTAAGTTGCCAGACTTCTTACCCAGATCTGCTTTCCTACTCATCCCTTCCCGGAATTGACCACGTGGGCCTACCTCACATAATTCCCTACATACAGTAACATGAATCAAAATCATTTTTACATATCCCAACTTATCACTCCAGGTATCTTTTGAAACAACTACATCCTGGTTTATAAATCTACGATGTGTGATAAAGTTATAAAAAGAGAGCATAGAATTCAAAAAAAATAATCCATGATGACAGTTGAAAGAAAAAATCGTAAAATTGGATTCTAGTGAGCAAACCTAAGCCAATTTAGTATTCTTTGCTCGTCTGTTGGATGATCGACGCCAGATACAGCTAAACAAACAGCTCGAACAGAAGACCGAGTTGAACCCGACTTTAAAAGAGCATCTGCCATAACTTGCTCTAGTGTCTCCCTTGCAGCAGTTTCTGTAAAATACAAAAAACATCATCATTTCCATTGATATATTTCAAGTTGAAAAAGAAGTCATTCTCCCAATTTTCATCAAATAAGAGATAAGGCAGGCAATCGACTGAGATGAGTTCCAATCCTTTTCATCCAAAATTAACTCAACTCATGCAGGCCCCTGCCCCATATTTTTGAACAAATGATTGTTGGAATGTTATGACCTTTTGATATGACAAACCAAACCCAAGCTCAAAATCTGTCATGTCGGATTTGCTCAGGAACAATTATGCTTAATCTAGGATACCAGTGTTGCATGCACAAAGTTTACCTATGGCAAAAGCATAAACAGAAAATTAACAGGTTTATATACAAATTAGCTTTCGATTTGTCACCCCTGGGCTGCTAACCGTTCATGCTAATTGATAGTGTATAACTAGTCACAGTCAATTGGAAGCCAGCTCAGCACTGGATGATATCATACTAAAAGGCATTTTTATTTGCTATTTAACTTGCAGTTCCTTCACCCCAGTCCAAAACTTTAAAGCCATAGTCCACTAGATGTAATTGCATGACAGACTTGATTCGCCTGTGTCTCTTAATAATAAAAAAGAGAGCAATTGTATTGTGATGGATCATCATCTTACAGTTTCTTTCTATTTTATACTTTTGGTTTCTTGTACACCATTTATTTAACTTTTCGTCATTAATAAAATGGTTTTTCATCTAAAAAAAATTTGACAGTCTTGATTGCCCGATTGAGGACCTGTTTTGCATCAATCAGCCAACCCTTTCTAGTTTCTTTGTTCCTGATGTGCTCTAAGAATGATATCTCTTTACATAGCATGGTCATCAAAATAATTAAATACTCTCTCTATGCAACATGGAGTACAAGAGCATAAGGAAAATTGCACCAAAACTCCTTAGGACAGCACATCACATTGGGAACTGCAAATAAATACACCACAATCCCAACAAAATTGAATATGCAGAGGAAAAGAACTTGCTCACTAGATGCAAAAAAAAAAAAAAGACATTCAATAATCATGTTAATACAAAATACTGAAGCATTATCATAATAAAGAAACTATGGACACACTTAGAAAATATACGAAAGTCCCCATGACACACTCTTTCCCAGAGAAATAATGGATGATGGACAATAGGAGTTTCAAAATAGCCAATAGAAAGCAAAAAATATATGAACACAGGTAAATCACTTGGATGAACCAAAAGTAAGTCGACACAACAGAAAAGATCCTATACAAAACCATAGCTACCATTGCTTAACATTCCAAATTGATTTATTGCCAACTGAATCAACAAGCAGATACATAGCAGAGCAATATTCAAGATGATATACAACAATATTTTCACATCATGAATTGTTGTCATATACATTGAGGTATACTAATGCTTACTTAGAGATAAACGAACGCCATAAGAAATAAATACAGTAACAAGCAAAAGCACCACTTATTCATGACAAGCAACCGAAAAATTCAAAAGGGTATTGAAATTTATACCTCCAACACTGTTATGATTGGAGCATCCGGCCATTGCACGTGCAAGGACCGGGAGAGGATCGGGAAGAGGATCAGAGAAAGGAATGATTGGCATACATATACAGATAGTGGTTGTAGTCCCACCGTCCAATCCCAATATCACTTCACTGCCACCACCGCCACCCACTACCCCGGCCAGCATTTCATGCTCAAAATCCCATATCTCTCTATTTCTCAACCTCTTCATTGCTCACCCAACTGACCCAATTCACACACACAGGCACAAACCCATTTTGTGTCTATCTATATAGACTGGCAGAGATACAGAAAGAAATAGTGGAAGGAGAGAGAATGGGAGAAAGAAGAACAAAAGGACAAGTGGAGAGAGAACAAAAACCGGGAAAAAAAAAAAGGGACATCAAATGTCATATAAACATACACAACGTGAAGGGGAAAGAGATGAGGGAGTGTCGGAGAGGGAATCTATAATATATACGTAAGGATTCGGGACGGCAAAAAGGCCAAATGCTAGAGGTTGGTATCTTTGAATTGACGAGTCTAATCATGTTTGATATGATATTGAAGACCGAAGACTGCAGAGTAAAATAACAAGTTGTTGCCGTTCTGGTCGTGGAAGGGGATGTGCATTTTGGTATAATGGTAGTGGTACATGGATATGTGGTGGTTATTTTTAGGGATTTTTCACTTTACACCCTGAAAAATATCTAGATTCTCACTTTACACCCAAAAGTTTATTTTTTTTACATTACACCCTGAATGTTATAAATTAGTTCTAATGTGGTCTTCACACTAGCATCCGTTTTAAATTCTGTTAAAAATTAATGCTCTTGTAACCCACATATATGAATGGTGAATTTATATTTTTGTCAAATAACAACACACGTTAGTGATAAGTGTATCAATTTTTAACATAATCTAAAACAAATATCAATCTAAGGGCTATATTGGAATCAATTTATGACATTCATGGTGTAATGTAAAAAAAATAATTTTTTTAAGTGTAAAGTAAAAATCGATGCATCAAGCGATGAATATTTTTTCATGTGTGGTTCATGGTAATCATACTTTACTTGGTCTTTTGGCTAACATCAAGTGGTATTCGAAAATATATTTTTCTTTGTTTTTTTTTTCTATTTTGGTTTGGTCATCCTGTAGGTGGAGCGGAGCAAAAAATTGGCTTAAGGATTGACACTTTAATTAGGGTCGGTTTTAGCATAAGAGATTAATGACTTTAAAATTATAAAGATGACCCTATATTTTACATATATTAATAAATTAGTGTATAGCACAAATCAAACAATATTACTATTTATTAAATATCATATCGAAGTTAACTGTCCATTATACTTAATTTGCATGTATGTAGAGATATATAAGATAAATATAACACACTATATCATATCTCGTAAATAAAAGTTCGTTAAGTCAAAAATAGTCAAAAGTAAATACATATATCTTATATAAAGAAAAAGTTGATACATATGCCTCGAAAAATTTTGAGCAAAAGCCTTCAAAAATCTTGTAGACTACCAAAACCTACAAAACAACTGACCCAAGTTGGCTATTAAGGATCAAAGGGAGGATTCCACCAGATAAGGAAGAGAATTATAATGACGGATTGTGGAGTTTGATTCATTGTTTATTGAAGTTAATTGTCAAGACCCTCGCAGGGGATTTCTAAAGTGAAGATTCAAATGATGAAATTTTTAACTGTAACGCCCCAAAACTTATATTGGACGGTATTATAATTTAAAAATCATTCACAACACGAGAGCAATTAATAATATCCATAATTAAGATAATTTCATTCATCATTCATAATATCTACAACATTATCCAAAATAATATGTCGAACTATGACATCTACATCCCAAAATAATATATCAACCTATGACAATTACATCTCAAAAGAATCAAGCTTAATCTTGCAGCAGAATAAACAAAATACATCTATTAGTGTACCAAAATATATCTCCTAATCTAAAACATGGAGAGATCAATTCTAGACATCTCCCTCAGGATCCACGCTTTCCTCTAATTGTACTTCCCAAACCACCTGCTCGTCAACTCCGAGCTTTTCATCTAAACCGACATTTGAGAATGAATAAATATTATAGGAGGTGAACACTAAGCTCTGTAGCAACATCCCTTCAAACTTGAATAAGGTTTAAAAAATATATAAAAACAGCCGATCTCATTTCACAAATATCATATATAACATTTGAAATAAAACAGGGATAATTCAATTGATCTCCAGTTTATGCAATAACAATAATTAAATGAAGAGATAAACCAATTTCCAATAAATAACCATTTTAACATTGAACCACAATCCACTGTTTGTAACATTACTCATAATGTAAATCAACCACAGCTTGTATCTATGAATTTGTACTTGTATCTCAAGCATGATGTATGATATTGTATGAATCAACACATTGAAAATATCCTGGCCCACACTCACGCACCAAATCCTCGCAAGAATCTCCAACTTTTAGGCAAACGTATTCCAATATAATGACAGTGATGAATCCAACACAGGAGTAGTATACTAAGCCTCAACCACGGTACCTGTGAGCGAATAGTGGTTTAGTCCTCACAAGACACCAACCCCCACTACGAGTGGTAAGAAAAATTCAAACCCACACGGAGTAAAAAACGCATCTACCTATTTTACGATATCCGATCAACAGTCACTCATGGTCATCCCAACATTCTCAAGAGATACAATCCCTAATAAATTTCTCCCATAACAATACAATTTCAAAATCCTCAAATTTTCATGTAGTATTTATAATAAAACAATTGAATAAAATAAAACAAGAGATCCTCAACAATATCATTCTATTGTTTAATATAAAACACTAGAATTTTTAAATTAAGAACAAAGGAAAAATCAAGAGGAAAACTCATCTCTTTTGAAAACTAGGGTTTTATACCAAGAAAAGAAATTTCATGGTTATCTAACCCTAACTTTGTTTAAAACATGATAATTTTTGAAAGAATATCAAGAATCAAGATTTTCAATACATATATATAAGCTTTAGAGTCAAAGCACGTATACATATAAACCCTAGTCTCAATAGTCAAGAATTGAAGGAACCTCTACCTTATTTTTTGTAATTTGGGAAGAAAGGTAAAAGATTTGATCTTTTCCATTTGAATAAACACCTGAATCTCTTTTGTTTTCCCTTCTTTATTCCTCTCTAAAGTTTCATAGGGTTAGAAATGTTGAAATAGGACTAAAAGAGGTGTCTTTAAGTATTTATAGGACGAAAAATGGACCACAGATCGTGACTTAAAATTTATGGGTTTTACCGAGTGTACTGGTACGGTATGCTCGCTGTACTTCGGGGTACCGGTACGCAGTATCGATACGGTAACTTTCAGCTGTACCGGTACGTTTTTTTCAATTTTTCTGTTTCCTTTGTTTTTCATTTTCAATCCATTCTCAACCCTTCAAAAACCAATTCAAACTTATACAACATACTTTTGGACATCAAACATAGTTGGTACAAGTTTTATTACAAATAATTTCATATACTTACCTAGTTTTTACACCATTAACATTTTCTACGGTTATAACCTATATGGTTCATTCCTACGTCATTACATATATTAAATTACTAAACAATTTTATCATTTTATTACTATAAATATGTGGGGGTTTACATTAACAACAATATTGGTAGAGGTATAAATTTTTAAACTTGCACTCAAAACTTTGAAAATAGTGGATTATGTTAGGTGGACTACGGTCCTGTATTTTGTCCGAAAGGGTTTTCACATCAAAATTACTTGTGTGCGTGTGACTGTGATTGTCTTTGCATAATTGTAATTTTACCAATTTGATTGTTTGATAATTTCTTTGAGAGAATCGGCTTTGTAATGTTGGGCACTTTAATTGTTGAAATTAATTATAAATTGGTGGAAGAGATTTGCGAGATAAGGTTGGTGGATTGTGCTTGTTTTATATTAAATTCAATTAGTTGTTTGCACACATTCACTAAATTGGTCATTGGTTATAGGTCGTTGAGGGTTTAACCAAACTAATTGGTTAATTAAATTGTCATTGAGTAGGAAGAGTTTTATTTGGGCATAAATTCCATGCTAGAGTGTATTAAGAGGTTATTTACCACCCTATAGGTCAATTACATTGTTTCAGGTTGGCCTGTCAATGAATTGGGTTAGATTCGAATCCAAATTTGGTTAGTCGAATATGGTTTAATATTTTTTATCGATAATCCAAATCTCTGATATATTATATTTCATAGATTCGGATCTAGATATACGTATATCCGATCCAATTATGATATGATATGAAGTATTTAAATATTTTATATAAATATTAAAGAAATCAGGTGATTATTTAAAAAAATAGTTGAAATTTAGGTTAAAATTTAATTAATTTAGTTATTTGGATTAAATTGAGTTTTGGATTAAATTTTGAATTGTTGACATATTAAAATATGGATCACGAAAATAAAAAACCATTGTACTGTCGGATCGGTCTTTTAACACTGGAGGATTTTAATTCGAAGTAATTAAAAAGTAATTCAAATATGATCCATTGACAGACCTAGTTTGAGGCTATTAAGGTTGGCCTATATTTTGCACTCCCAGTGGGGTGCCCATCGAGGCCCAACCCAAAGGGGCAGCCCAATGGTATATAAACTCAATTTTATTTCCTTGAAAACCTAAACTGGGATTCAATTTTATTCCCACATTTTCCAAGCTCATTTTCCACATTTCACATATTTTATTTTGTAGCCAATTTTCTTATTCACGTCTTATTTAATTTGAACAAGTGAATATATTACATTCATCTTCTTGCAAAGTGAGATGCTTTGGTCCAACATTTGTTGTAAAAAAAAATGTAAGTAGTAGAAAGAAATCATCATGCACACACTTGAAGAAGCATATTTCTTCATTTTACTTGTGTTTTGATGTTTCTAGCCTGAAGAAACTAAGCCAGATGAGGCGATACATAGACACATCTCATTGAGTTAATTTTATCCATTAACACGAACCCGATACGACACAAAGTTTTAAAATAATACGATTAGTTGTCGTGAATAATAAATTAGTTAAATTAAAGTTCGACACGAATAACGTGATTAACGGGTGTTGTAGATAGAAAATAATTATTTAACGAGTATTATAAACATAAAATAATAATTTTTAATTTTTTAAATAGTATTATACGAGTTGTTATGAAATTAAATAATTTTTTTATTAACGCGAATATTGATATGAATCTGACATAAAAATAAGAAATTGACATAATACGATTGACGCCCTTAGTTAGACATGAACACTTGTATACGTCAAGTTGAAGTTACCAACTATTTCAATTTTTTATACCATTTCTTCTATTTATTACGTCACACATTTTCAATAGAATTCTTATATCATTAATTACCTCATGCAACTATAATCCCTAAAACCACCTGATCTCTTTTAGTCTTCGTCCAACTAACATGTTTATTTTATTTTTTAATGAATGCACATAAAAAAAATACATATGTATTTTACACATACATACATGCATATATATATATATATAAATTGTGTATACATATAGAATTTCTTTGGGGGACTTTTTTTTGAGAAAAAATGGTCCAAAATTTATATTGAGCTCAAAAAATTAAATATATCAGATCAAAAGTTGAATTTCGAATCCTTTAAATGTATATTATTTCCTTTATTTTTTTTAGGCATTACATTTATAACTAAGGAAAGAAAAGAGAAGGAACCCACAATATTTCAAGTGTTAATGAAAATAAATTATAAATTTAAACGTTTTGAGTTTAAATTTTAATAATTTTTTAAAATTAAATTTAAGAAATTTATTTCTCATAAATACTTTAGTTTCGACGTGGATGATCTGCTTTTGACCAAACAAAAAAAAAATTAATTGAGATATATAAAAACTGGTCCGAATACCCGACTTAAAAAAAAAAAAAGAAAAGAAAGAAAAGAGAGGTGGAGGAGGGGCTTGGCGTCATTTCACATAAATATCTTGAAAGGCAAAATAAACTGAAGGGGAAAGGGTGGGCGTCCTTTGATATAAATATCTTCTCGAGTCCACTTAATCGCTGCAGACTCAACTCATAAACCCTTTTCTAGGGTTCTACCGTTCCTTCCCTTCTATAAACCCTGCATTTCTCTCTCACACAGCACATATTCGAGTGAAAATGAATAGCCTCCGCCTACTGAGAAAGTCGGCAACGCCATGTTCAAAGCGACTCACACTTGCCTCCATCATCAACCCTAGTGCGACTCTTCTATCACCATCAACACCCAGAGATGCTCCTATTAGTACCCAAAGTCATTACTTTTCCACCTCCACCACTTCTATTAGACAGCAATCGAAATCGCTCGAGTGGGTCAGTGGTAACTATGGAGTTCTAACGAGAAATTTTCATGTGGGTGGTGGGTCGTTGAATTTCAGGGCTTCCGAAGTGTTATCTCAGGCGGAACTTGCGTTCGCCAATTTCTCCGATGAAGATAAGTCGTTGGGAGCGAGTGGGGCCGTCGATGATGGTCTTGAGATATCGAAGCTTGGGATTTCTGGAGAGATCGTTCAGGCTTTGGCTAAGAAGGGTATCACTAAGCTCTTCCCTATTCAGGTATATTTTCATTTTACAATTGTACTTGTAATTTATTGTTTTTTCCTAAAATAAAAGCTATGGGTTGTCTTTTTTTTTTTTGCGATGATGTACATTGTTTGTGTTTTTATTTTGTGGCGGTGTTGATTTGTGTGTTTTGCAGTATGTATTCACATTATAGCAAACAAATGAGGTGGGAGAGGCCTTCCTCATTAATGTCTGATTAGCTTCCATGACACACCTGATGCATCTGCAAATTGATATTTGTAAAGCCTCTTGCGGTGAAATGTGACAAAAACCTCTTACCTTATTCCATAGCATAATTAAGCCAAACAATTGTGAAGAGAGTTATGAGAGAGGGACCACATTCCAGAATTTGAAAGGGAGAAGGCAATTTAGTCTCGAGAGAGGAGGAGTTCATTGGGAAAGATCAAAAGAGAAGGCAGTTTAAAGAGGTAAATAGAATAGAGGGAACAGAGGACGTGGGCTATTGGCAGATGGCAGTAACTGATAAATGGAAAATTTGAATACAAATCAGTCTATTCCGAAAAAAGGATAAGGTGGTTATCTGGAAGGAAAAAGGTATTATCCAAAAGACAAAGAACTATTCATGGTATCAATAGGAGAAAGGCAAGTAAGCCTTTACAGTATTACAAAAACCAAAAAGCCAATACAATTGGGAAGGAGGTCCAAGGTTGGGAGTTCACTATAGTAAATTAGTAATAACTACCAAGAAAGGGAGAGGATACCAACCCCCCCCCCCCTCCTCTCCCTTTATTGATAGTATAGATAAATGGAAAATTTGAATACAATTCAGTTTATTCAGAAAAAGGATAACATTGTTATCTGGATGGAACAAGGTTCACATTATCTGACTTGGGTACTTTCCGAGTCAATACCGTTTCAAGTTATGTATAAATTTCGAGTCTCAAATGACGCGCCCGAGTTGTCCAAGATGTCTTCAAGTCAATCCCAAGTCACTGAGTTATCGTCATTGAATTGGCCAATCTCGTCCGATCTGAATTTTTTGTCATGTTCAACTTTAAAGAAGTCCATCTTCTAGATGGACTTATAGTTTGAAAAGTTATGTCAAATGCAAGCTCAATGTGCGGTGGGTTCTTGCTATTGCTTGAAAATGATATTTTAAAAAATAATCCTGTTTTTTAGAGGGATGCTTTGTTCCAATTACACTTGTAAGTGTAACTACACAATTTAGTCAAAAGTGCATATCTTTTGAATTTTTCTTGCATATTATGATTTTGAACTATTATTATTATTATTTTTTTTCCTCTTTGATTAAAAATTTAACCTTTAGAGTGATGAGTGTTGCATTTTAGTTTGTTATCATTGTTTTGTTGACTTCAGTGTTGTTAAACTTATTTACTCCTTTTAATATAAGCATTTTAACTAGGGCTATTTTTAATGTTTTCTTTCTGCAGAAAGCAGTTCTGGAGCCAGCAATGCAGGGTCGTGACATGATAGGTCGTGCTAGAACAGGAACGGGGAAGACACTTGCTTTTGGGATTCCCATTATGGATAAGATTATTCAATTTAACAATAAGCATGGGTTTGTTCCCTTCATTTACACACAGTTAGCAAATTAATTATTATTGGCTCAAAAAAGAGATCAAAATAATTATTTGTTACCACTGCATGTATATCATTTTTGTATTTTATTGCGCATGTCCTTTCACATATACCATATTTTGTGAAAAACAAAAAATTCTTTTACATTTGAAACGTTCTATTATATATTTGGACATACAGACGTGGAAGGAATCCTCTGGCCTTAATCTTGGCTCCAACGAGAGAACTTGCTCGCCAAGTTGACAAGGAATTCTACGACTCTGCGCCCAGTTTAGATACACTGTGTGTTTATGGCGGTGTGCCCATTGGGCGGCAAATGGGTGCACTGGACCGTGGTATTGATGTGATTGTCGGCACACCTGGTCGAGTTATCGATCTCATTAAGAGGGGTTCTTTGAATTTATCAGAGGTTCAGTTTGTTGTTCTTGATGAAGCGGATCAGATGCTCAACGTAGGTTTCCAGGAAGATGTGGAAGTAATCTTGGAAAATTTGCCCAAGAAACGTCAGAGCTTGATGTTCTCAGCAACCATGCCAGGTTGGATAATGAAACTTACTCAAAAGTACCTGAAAACCCCGTTAACCATTGATCTTGTGAGTGTTCAAATCCTTTATGCCTAATTCTTTGTTGTGTAAATACTCGTTTTGTTATCATATCTTGGTATTATCTTGCTACTTCTACAAAATTTGTTGGTAATTATTGTTACCATATGTGTACTGTAGGTAGGAGATTCTGATCAGAAACTGGCTGATGGAATTTCTTTGTATTCGATTGCATCAGATATGCATGAGAAGCAGGCAATTATTGGACCTCTAGTAACAGTATGAATCTTTAACATTTATTTTCACATGCCAATTCCAAGTTGATGTTGAGTATAGCCATAGGTTTTTTTTTTGGTGACTGTAAAAAAATGCTTTTGCGGTTGGTAGAGTATGTTCTTGAGTTTGATGATGTGCTTGTACATTCACATTATTCTCATCTGGCATGTTTTGTATGTCTTTAGGAACATGCTAAAGGTGGTAAATGCATTGTTTTCACTCAAACGAAACGTGATGCTGATCGTTTGGCATATGCTATGCAAAAAAATTTTAAATGTGAAGCTTTGCATGGAGATATCTCACAGAATCAAAGGGAAAGAACACTTTCCGGTTTCCGAGATGGCCGCTTCAATATTTTGGTTGCCACTGATGTGGCTGCCCGTGGCCTTGATGTACCTAATGTTGATCTGGTACGTGTTTTTCATCTGCCTTGTTCTAATGGGTCTTCTATGCGATGTATAAATATGTCAAGTGTTCTGTGTATCCTCATTATCAAATGAAATTTATTCTTACCTGCCTCTCTTATCAACAAGGGGGTTATATGATACAATATTGGGGTTCATTTAATTAATAGTGTGTGTTATGCAATAGAACTGTCTTATCTGTACCATTTTCCATCTGTAGTAGAACAGAACGGCAAGCAGTGTCAAGATGAAAAGGAGTTATTTTCCACAATCATTGAGATCTGATATTGTGGAGCGTGCTGATAATTTGTAATAGTTGGCCATTATCATTATATGGGACAGTTGATGTCACCTCTGTAGTATTTTACAATTGTGAGAAGATGGGGTGATTTAAATGGATGACTTGCTTTCCAAGGCACTTGATGTAGTCGGGAGACTTTTTTGATTTCTAAATATTGTATCTCTAAACTCTGTCTGTCTGTCTCTCTCTATGTGTATACTCATTTTTTTATCCTCTGGTGGTCACTGGTTGAGTGATTATTATTCAGTCCAGTGACTTTGAGGTTGTTAGTTCAAACAGAGGTCACCCACTTTTTCTAAATATTCCCGATTGTTAGGTATGTACCCAATATACTCATTGCACAGCCCATTCATAGGACCACATTGGGTGTTGCTATACTATATAGGCACATCTATGTGTGTAAAGATGTTTTAATCGTGTGTATATATCTAGACCAACTCAGATTTGGAAGATACTGGTGAGTTGTGGACAACTAGCAAGGTTGTACAGGATCGTGGCCTTGAAGAGCTTGAGTTGAGTTGGTATGGGTCCTATGGGAGGCCAGCAAGAAAAAAGTCAAAAACTGAAATGTGATACATAACGTGTGATTCATAGTCCACCTGTGAGATAACTTGGCCAATGGAGGTGTGCTATTTTTGGCATTTTGCTATTTGTGGCATTTTGTGTGTGGTCTTATTGGAAAGAAATGGGAGATCTTTGATGCTTGAGAGCATTCTTTGGAAGAAATACGGGATAAAATTTTGTTTTTGAAATCTTTTTAGGATTATTGAGTATTTAAAGAATTCACACAGATTCCTTTATGTTTGACAAAAGAATCAACTAGGTGCTGTGTAGGATTGAAAGGAAGGATAGTTACTTTTTTTTTTTTTTTTTCATTTTGTACCTTTGGAGGGCTTCTTGTCCTCTTTTGTACTACTTTTTTTTCTTATTAACAATATCTTTCCATGTCCTATTAGAAAATTATGCAAACCAGTGGTTTCTCTCTCTCCCCGTGGTTAAGTTGTGGGTATTGTGAGTATTTCTTCCTCTTTTTTTTTTTTGTGTGTGTTTTTAGTGGTGGGTTGGGTTGATAGGTTGATTCATGTGGTTAGGTGCTTGAATAGTCATGACATGGTTTAGTGAGGTATACTTAGATGATTGGATGCATATGTTTAGGTGCTTGGATGGTCATGACATGTTTTTGTGAGAAAATTATATGGTAAATCTCTATGTAATTTTTACATAGACTTCTGCTGTTTTTTATACCACATTAGTGCTTCCTATTCTTCTCGGTTTCATCAGGGCCTCAAATTTTTGCTCAGGTGATACATTATGAACTTCCAAACTCTTCGGAGATTTTTGTTCATCGATCTGGCCGAACAGGACGTGCTGGAAAGAAAGGAAATGCAATTCTCATTTATTCATCGCACCAGTATAGGGATGTTAAGGGTATTGAACGGGACGTAGGATGCAAATTTACAGAGGTAATATGTCAGTGTTTAACTATATTTATATGTTCCTGTTTTGATCTGTGTATGTCAAGTATTTCATTTCCAAATTGTTTGGAAAGAAGTTGTAAAGTGATAATCCTATTATGTGCTGAAGACTGTTATAGTAGTGGGGCCCCATTTAGTGATTTTGACAGAACCGAAGTAGTTACCAGTATGAGTAACACAATTCAATTGGAAGATCTTTAAATTACTTTCTATTGGATACAAAAAACTGTTGACAAAAATTGTTTTGTTATAAATCTTAATTTCAGGTAAACATATTTATGCTTAAGTTTTTTGTGTTAAAATTCAGCTGCAAAGTTCTTGTCAGTGCTAGTTCAGCACACAATATTTAACACCTATCATGAGTGCTTGGATTATTGCATAGATTACTTATTAGTTTTAAATGGGGGCAATCTGAAGAATGATGAAATCCTGATCCAGGCCCAGTTGATAAATTAGGAGTTTCAAAGACAACCCTTTACTTTGGAAATGGAGAACCTATAGTTCAAACACCACTTAGCACTAGTCACTCATATATCTCATCGATGTGCTTGGTGATTAATGTTAATTGGAGATTGGTGGAGAAAACCTTTAATGGCATTGTTTTTGAGATTATCTTTGCACTAAATTTTAGGCTCACTTGAAAATGAGGAGAAAAAAGTCTGTCATTTGCAGGACTGCATGTGTTGTACTCGAGAAGCATACTTTTTATGCCCCCACTGTCCTAAAATTACCGTCCCTTTTTTGGGACTCCAGCTATTAAGGAAGTTAGCTGCTTTCCCCTTCAAAAGCTAAAAAATTCACTGTATTTGGTGTAGAGAAACTTGTCAGAATTGTTTCAAAAAGGATAATTAAAGAAATATGAAAATCTACCAAGTTAACTTGTCAAAATGGTGTTCAAAAAAATTTTTTTTTTGTCAAAATGGATTACTTTGGTGGGAATCCCAAAAAGGGAAGAGGGGCTCTAAAAATGGCATGGAAGTAGTTTATATTGATATGAATGGATCTCTCTCTGTCTCTCTCTACACACACACACTTGCTGTTGTTAAACTGGGCTATCTTAGACTAATTTACTTGTAATTTGCTTGATTTAAGCTCCCTAGGATTGCCGTTGAGGGTGGAACCAGAGACATGTTCAGTGACATGGGCGGCAGCGGTGGTGGTGGTAGCCGCTCTGGATTCTCTAGAAGTATGGGTGGCGGTCGATTCAGTGACTCAGGTTTTAGTCGCCCTGGTGGCTACAGTGGCTCTGGAGCTGGCCGCTTTGGTGGGTACAGTGGTTCATCATCTGGTCCTAGTCGTTCTGGATCTTATGGTGGATCCAATTCAGGTCGATCAGGTGGATTTGGTGGACCTAGCTCTGGCCGCTCTGGCAGCTTTGGTGGGTCCGGGTTTGGCCGCTCTGGTGGATTTGGGGACCTTGGTGGTGCAGATCGTTCAAGTGGTTTTGGGAACACAGGTGGTTCAGATCGTTCAAGTGGGAGGAGATCTTATTAAAACTCTATTTGGAGGTAAGTTTAGTTTGCCCTTTCACAAAAGAATACTGACTTTGTTTAACTGTCATCGTAGCATAGTTGGTATTGAGCTTGTCACTTGCATCATTTTGTACTTAAGCTAGACACAGCCACTTGTGTAACTTGGGAAGCTGGTTTTGGGTGACCTGATTTCAGTGAGTGTTTTGGGCTTATGCAAAGAGTGACAAGTATACCCACTCCAGCAAAAGCGAAACAAAAAGTGAACAAAGGGGTTAAATACGTCTCCCAGAAACTCTACAATAGAATGGTACTTCTTGGCACATCTTGATTGTCCCTCCACATTCATTTCTACTGTCAGCACTTGCTAATTCCTTGTTCTTGGTATATTGTCCTTACAGTAGTTCTCTTTCTACTTTCTCATTGTCTTTGTCACACTTCTTCCTTTCCAGCATCTGATCTGAGCCTCCACTGTGGCTGGGATGATCCAAATCTCAAATAAGTATAAATCTATGCACACCTTATTGACTGCCTCCCAATCTTTGCCAAAGTTGTCTCCTACACATCCAGCACCAATTAGTCAAAGCCCATTTATTTCTACATGGGGTTGGGTGGGTTGGCAAATCTGATTTACAAATTCATCCTCACACGCCTTGTAAGGGACTCTTTTGCATGTTGATCTTTAGCTCAAGATGCCCTCCTAACTTTTTACATTTAAACTTGAGGTTGAGGATCTTTTGCATTTCACATGAGTGTAAGATAGTGTGTCAAGCAAATTGAAGATGGGAGACCTTAATTTTTCTCAGTACACTCACACCATCAATGAGGATCATTCCTTAGACTATGGAAAGTAGAGATGAATCACCTAGGATCTAACACCACAGCAAGCAAAGATGGCAATGAAGGATATCCTTGCTCAAATCTTTCGGTATATTAATCCTTTCTATACTTCAAACTCCAGAAATCAAGCTACTGAGGTAATTTAGCGTAGCAGAAAGGATCCCTGTCTATTTGAGTCTTGAGTCTCTGTCTCGCCTTTGGGTTTGCCATTAACAGTCACAAAAAATCCATCTATACTCAATGGTGGAGCTAGGAAGGGACTCAAATATTTTTCGCTACCATTTATGATATATATATTTCCAATTTTTTTTAAGTAATTTTAATTATGTCTACCCTATATTGTCTCTTTTTACATCAATTATTAAAAGTTCATACCTAAACAACTCTTAACTTTTAAATACGTTTTGGACTGGCCTATATAAATTTTGGACATGCTAGAGTCATATTTTCATTTTTGAAAAATTATAAGAAATATTTAAAATTGTATCAATAGTAGTGTCATGAGGCCTTCGACAATTATACAACCTTCCTATGCCTATATTATCCTCCAGTGAGGTGCGGATTACCTTTATTAGGGGTGCGGGTTGCTTTTATTACAGGTCCTTTAGTCGTTGACAACACTTTGGACTTGCGTAACACTTTACATTTTTGTATTTAGTTTTTAAATCTAATAGGGATTGATGATCTTACTCAAAAAAATAGTTAAACTAAAAAATATGTGAGATAGCTATTTGTTTTTTTACTTGTTACTTCAACTTTAGAGATAATATTTTTAGGAATGAATGTGAAGACTCGATTGCATAGCTAAACATATGATTGATAGCATAATTGTGGATATGGAGAAAGATATTTTCGATGACATTGATAGTGATATCATGTGACAATTGTAAAGTATGAAAATTTATTGGGGTTAATTATAGATGATTATAATTAATTTAATTTTTTGTGAAGTGCTTCAATTAGTTTTTTTTTGTCATAAATATATTATGTAAACCAAACTTTTCAACTTTTTGAGTTTGATATATTTTTAAGTATAAAAATATAAATGTATCATCTCAATTTTGTCGACTCAAAGAAAAAAAAATATTGAAGTGCCCATCCAAAAATCATTTTCTGGCTCTGCCCCCGTCTATACTAGGGAATGTTGAATTGAAAAAGCTTAAATGTCAAAACCTAGGGGTGCGTTTAATAACGTTTTTAGTTTTCTGTTTTCAAAAAAAATGAAAACAGAAACAATTTATTTTTATTTTTTTTTCCATTGGTAATAAGTTACAATAGAAAATGATCATGTCGGTGGAGGTCATTGTTGTTGGTGGCGATGGTAGTGGCAATAGTAGAGGAGTAATGGTGGAGAGGAGCAGGTGATGGTGGTGATTACCAGTGGCGGAGGATATTGGTCGGAGGGGGTTAGTGGTGGCGGCAATAATGGCAATGCCAAAGGATAGTGGTTTTTTTTTTTTTTGGGGGGGGGGGGGCGGGGCATTGATGGGTAGTGGGGGTCGGGGGGGTGGTGGTTATGGAAATGTTGTGATGAGTGATCGCGGTAATGGTGGAGGAGTCGTGGTGGGTGGTGGCGGAGGATAGTGTTGAGAGGGGTGGTGGTAACTATAGTGGCGGTGGACATGGTAGAGGTCAGGGGGGAGCCTAGATTGCGGGTTAGGGGGCAAAATATAGGAAAAACGACGCATTATCTTATACAAAAAAAAATTCAAACACGAAAAAATATATGTAGGTTGAAGACCAAATTAGTGTATGAATCACCAAAATCATTTTTCTTTGAGCCTAAACAAAATCTGAATAAAAAAGAAATAAAATATTTTTTTCTTAGTACATTTCAACTTAAATATATCTTAAAGTGGACCACAATAACAACAGTGTTCTTTAAAATTTTAAAAATTGTATGATTGATTAATTTTAAACGAATTTTTTTTAATATATACAATCGTAGAGTTCGTGATAAAATCATCCTTCATTTAGTTGTGAAGCATAATTCTCTAACTTGTTGAGAAATTGACTATTTGAAATAGCAAAAAACACTTTTGGGTTACATATTTTAAGTTTTGCATATAGCCATACTTAATTGGGTTACAGATTCTTAGAAGAGACGTATTTATTCGGTCAATTTATGTACATGTATCAAGAAATATTACACTATTATACTGGTTTTACTCAAGCTGAAAATATAACATTTGTTTTATGGACCATTATTGAATAAAAAAAGATAGAATTTGTATACAAATTTTTAAAAATTTTGGTTGGGGGGGGGGATGTTGTAAGTTGAACAAAATTATGGTTTTAAACACAGACATATATGAAGGTGATCTAAAAGTTAGAGGAGACAAGTGCCCCCACCAAGCCTAAGGTGGTTCCATCACTGGTAGTGGTTGTGGCAATGGTGGTGACTAGTGGTCGACGGTAATGGTACGAGTAGTGGTGGGTGGTGGTGGCGGCAGTGGGAGTGGTAATGGTTTTGGTAGTGGCACCAGTGGGTCGTAGAGGTGGCGTGTCAAGTTGTACATCTGCAAATGTATCCAAGCAACAGAAGCTCAGGGTTAGTGATACACATTTAAAATTGCTTGTTGCAACTGTTCGGAGAACTCTTACATGGTAGTTTTGAAATTGTCCGAGTCCATTGCAAGTGAACGAGAGTTCAAATGCTATTGCAAGTTTTACAAATGATATTCATAAGAGTATGAATTTGTCAAAAAGGTCTAGTAACTTGTTTATGTTGCCGCTTTTATTCATAATTTTTGACTATATGATTAGGTGTCATTTTGCCCCTTTGACACTCTACTCATTGTTGTTTTGACATTGTACGTGTGGTATGCACCAGCAGGTTTGAAGACTACGGGAGGTGGTTCTTTTGAATTGATCATTAAGAGGTAATGAACAATTAAAGTATATGAAGGTTGTGGAAGCGTCTATGCTATGTACCTGGCTTTTGAGTTTGGAGGAGTGTTTAAGGTACAAAATAGGGTGATTATATTCAAATATTCAGCTGCTGGGAATAATGTAGTTTTGATTTTTACATGCAGATGGTCATTTGTAATATAAACTTTACCTTAAACCAGATATCTAGTAGAAAGGCTCCTTTATTTTACCTTCCTCAATCCATGGAAGATGTAATTCTCATAATTTAGGGTTTTTTTTTTTTTTTTTACCTTGTTCATAATTTAGGGTGCCTTTGGCAACAGGGTGTTTTTGTTTTTCTAGTTTGAAATTCTGCAATATGGATAACAAATCCTTTGGTGAATACCTCTGGCTAGCCTTGATTGGAATACCGGATATGATGTGAGAAAAGTACTTGAATGGTTAAGTGTGTGCTAGACTTATTTTAGGGAATATCCATCGACATTATTCGCATATTGTTGGACTAGTCATAATTCCGTGTTTAAAAACATTCTATAATACTATAAGTCAAACATTAATTGGGTAATATTTATATTTTAAATAGTAATTTATGTATTTTAAATAAATAAGGGAGAGACGAGAGATATAGGTGTGGATTAATGGTGGTTTTTTTAGTGTTGGGGAGTGTTCATTGCATTGTTTGATATTGAGGGAGGGGGTGTTCATTGCATCGTTTGATATTGAGGGAGAAAATGATGTTTTATAGAGGGTAATTTTTTACTTTTGAGATGCATTTTGTATTATTGGATCAAAATAGATAAAAATTAGATTAATTTAAACTACTTGAGATGAATTTTGTATTATTGAATTAAAATAGATAAAAATTGAATTAATTTAAATTGTTGTATTTTTATAAGTTAAGAGATGATTGAGGAATTAGTTGTTAAATAATTATAATTAGTCTCAAACAAGGATTAGGGTTTCACCGGAGAATCCTTGGACCTTGCCAACACAAGAAACCACCTGTGTGTGTGTGTGTAATTCTTCAAAATTTAAAAATAAATCAATCAAATCACGTGGATACTAGTAAAGGCCAAACAATTGCGAGACTTATTTTAGAAAATTTGAATTGGAGGATGAAAATTCCTTTATCAATTTATTTAATTTGTCGAGCCAAAAAGAATTTCAATTGTATTACCATATTCATTTGACTAATCAGTCATGGAGTTAACAAATTTTAATTATCTTTCCTCTTTTGTGGGCCCACATGTGAGCTAATTTTCATACACTTGGGAGATCGGGGTCCATTCGTTATCCAAAAAAATCCTTGTTCAAATCTTTTAATTATTAGGAATGCAATGAACCTCTTATACCAAGCTCTAGGTGCTTATTTACTATTGGAAATAACTTTCTTACATTATACATGTAGTCTTCTCTCCCATGGTCCTCAAAACCTTATAGTTTCTCGACTTGTATTTTCTCTTGGAGGAATTCTTAGAGCAAAGGTCTCCTCAAAGTCAATCTATTCAATCTCGACATATACCTTAGCCACAAGTCTTGCTCAGGTACATGTTATGATACCATGTTCATTGAATTTATTATTGAATGTCCAATTGGTGTCGATTATTTTTGTCATTGGGTCTTGGAACAAGTGTGGACACTCATCTCCATCAGAAATTATTCAATTATTCAATTATTCTATGCATTGAATTGTCTAGCGTTCCTCACTCACCGCGTCATCTAATTTGTGAACTCTATTACTGATGTAATTAAATTTGAATCATAGATTTTCCTAGCTCTCTCTTAGTTTTAACTCCGAAAGGGGGATCACACATGATAGTTGTTTTAGGGTGATCCTTAGGAATGTTGAGCCTATGAGTGTGAAAGACAATATTAGTTGCTTTAGGGGATGGATGACGTTTTGTTAATGGTCCATCACTGTCTTGAGATCCAAGTATAACCAGCGTAGGATAGATTAAATCACTAAAAGTTTGTTCTTGATCATTTGATCATTCATATCATAGATAATGTCCCTGAGTTGAGGGTGAAGAAGAGTAACGATCATGTCCAGGATATTGATGGAGTATACAGACCTTAGAATAATCCAATCCCGAAGGCCATGACTTGGCTTTCTACTTAGGTAAGAATTGATTCTTATGTGCAAGCAATACAAAGAATTTTGTGGGGATTGAATGAGGACTGAGTAACACCTTTTAGTTCCCAAAGGTCTCTGACCTCTGATTCGGTAGAAGAACTGTCTGTAATATAGTGATGCATGAAAGAGAGATCACTTGTAGA